CACTCACTCACTCCACTCACTCACTCCACTCACTCACTCCACTTTACATCCTGCTAGCACTGCCCGCCGTGGTCGGGATAAGACCACTTGATAGCTTTGATGGTCGTTTCGAGTGTGTTACGTTTTGAAGGTCTCATGCGGATCTGATCGCAAAATCCAGAGCCTCCAAACTTCTCTCTCCGCCTCCTTCTCTCTCTCTCTCTCTCTCTCTCTCTCTCGTCCCTCTCATCACACACACCTCCTCCCTCCCCTCCTTCTCATCCTCGTCCATCACATCATCACTTATACTACACGTCTCAGCACAACCGCCTCATATACCTTCTCTCCTCACACTTCGTTCTTGACTTTTCATCTCACTACTCCGTCTCCCATGTGATGTTCATATACAATTGAAATTTGTAAAACTTATCATGTGGGGTTATCCGGTCCTTTTTTTTACATTTTTTTTGAAGCGTGGGGCCGTGGCTTCAACGATCGGTTTCCACTTTCCACGTTGGGCTTGAATGTTATCATTACATATCCTTACTATTTGTGTTTGGCCAGCGCCGGGACCCGAAAAAGATTTCCTCGTTCGCTTGGCAGCCAGCATCACTTTAAAAAAACGCACCTCTTCAGAGTGGCGCGCTGGTGTCTTGAAGTGTCATTTAATGTGCGTTTTCTAGTGGAACTGCAAATCCCCGCGCTTTTGCTCTCGACTTCACAACAGTGTCCAGTGTCCCGGGCAAGAAATTCCGGACGATGTTGCTTCGCGAGCGAAGTTGCTCAGGATCTAGTTGAGGATGGTGTGGGGCTACAGTGGCGCCCTATAGCTGCTCTAGACGTACAGGTTCCGGCGTTCTTGAAGAGTTCGCGCGCCAAGTCTCAAACATAGGACGCAAGTGCAAGCTTTGTTCAGCCTTTTCTACTGCGAACGAAGGGTTCTCCGAAAAGAACAAACGCCAACTTCAACTGATTCAACTGTCCACCCATCATCATCACCACCACCAACATCATTTAGCATCACATCGTCGTCGTTGCCACCACCATCATCATCATCATTATGCATCACCATCATCATCATCATCATCATCATCATCATCATCATCATCATCATCATCATCATCATCGCCACCATCTCCGTCATCATCATCATCATCATCATTTTTTTTCTTCTTCTTCATCTTCTTCATCTTCACTGTCGTCATCATCTTCATGGCATTATCATCGTCGTCGCCATCATCACCATCGTCAGCACACTCGTCATCCCCTCCTCCTCCTCGTCAACATCAGGGTGTAGAGATGCGGGCAACGCAATTGTGTCAACACACCCACCGGTAGATACTTGTTTAAAGATATACAGATATACAGGTGTTGAGATGCAGGTGTAGAAGTCAAGACGCATACAATACAACTTCGGCGGCGGGGTGGCTCAGCCAACGCTCACGAACCTTCGCGGAGATCACGGCGTCGGATGCAAATATGCAAATCGTTGTAATGGGCCTGGACAATAATTGCCTCTGCGGAGATCGTGCGGCCTACGGAGACGCTAAAGGCGTCGAGAACCACGATGTCGGAATCATCGCCCACCTGCCTCCAGCCCCTTGGCGCGCGAGCCAGGGGCCGCGCCTTGCAGGCAGCGGGCCGACAGGAGACAAATTGGGCTGGACTACAGTTTCGTGGAGACCACAGACCTGGCAGGTTGATTTTGATGAGCCCTGCACGTTACAGTCCGATCCTGGCAGGTCACTAAGTCCTTGACCTTCGTTGCTCAGCTCGGGCGGCGGGGGCGAAGTTACGGAACCTGTCACCAAGAAGGTCGTGAGCAAGCCGGAGCGCGGAGCAGCAAGACTCCGCATTTCAAGTGCAACGCTGCAATACAATGGCTCAAAAGCGTGGTGGCAGAGCTTAAAAGTTGTTTCCAGAAAGGCTCAAGACAAGTCAGTCAGGAAGAACGAAGAGCTTGCAAAGGCAACGAGCAATGAAGGCGTGGACGACCCAGAGCCAACGCGCAACCAGTAGTCGTGAGAGAAAAAAGTATGTACATGCCAAGGCGCCAAGGACTTGCGCGCGGTTGCCCAACCAAGCTGGTTACTCTGACACGGATTGGGCCAACCGCAGGAAGACAAAGAAGAGCTGCGCCCACGCAACCTTCATTTGGAAGGACGCGACGTGACTTCTAAACCCGGATAGCATTCGTGCCAGGTTGAACAACCGGACCGGACACGGCTGTGCGACATTTTTTGGCCGTGTAAGGGTTGCAAGTCGAGCAACACTTGAATTGCGCGTATTGACCGCAGATGCATTTCACGCAGGGTGCAGGCTACCACAACCCCTTAGCAGTTCAAAATAACTGCCAGCCTGCCAGCTTGCAAAAACTCACCTCTCCTATTCGGGTCATATAGAGTTATATTACATCTTCATTTTCTGTGACTTCCCATCCAATCCTGAACTTCAGTTGGACGAAGACAAGTCAAAACTTGAAGAACTTATACGAGCTTGACTCGTAGCCAACATTTCGGCATGAGATGATCTTTGTGAGGAGAGAATCATGCGAGTCCTCAGCCGGGGCATTCAACTTGGCAAAACTCTGCTCCCGCCAGCTGCGCAGTTTGAGTCAATCTGGCAGTTGTTCAATATTGCTTCACAGCTTGGGCCGGTTCCAGGTTGGGGGACGAGATAAAGGCCATGGCCCCAGGGCGTGCATGTCAATGCTGCAAAATGTTGCGCCATGCTGCGATCGCGCCTAGAACTGTATACCTATCCCAATTGAGCGCTCGTTTGGCGAGGTCAAAGATGTCAATGTCGACAGGAGATTACTGTAGACCGGGTTAAAGTGATTTATAATGGATCAATGGGGTTTGTGTAGATTCAGAATATTTTGCAATGACATTTAGTTTTCCACAGGATTCGTTCGATTTTCACAAAGTTCGAAGCTCAAAAAAGTGCTCGGAAATGTGCAAGAAGGGATTATTGTGAGTAACGACTTTGTTTTTCCCTACAAACCTTCCGATGTTATTTTGCCAAAGGCATCAGACGGAGCAGCTCTCGCGCCTAGCCGAGAAGTTTTCAGAGGGTCGGGTTCAACGAGCGCAAGAAACCGATCCAGGAGGGAGACTTGGAGTACTGCAGAGTGCATCATCCCAATACTGGACTATTAAATTGTTGTTGAATGGTTTTTACATTCCATGAGCATCAATAATATCTATGACATTCGAAACACTTTGAAGTTGCAAGGCGAGTTTGACATGCTTGAGAGCAAGGAAACAGAGGCGATGCAAACAAGTCTTGAACTACCGGTCCACCAGAGTGAAACCAATTGATGCGGCCAGCTACTGATTGCAAAATGGTGCGAAAAAACTGTGCTGCATCCAGCTGTTTGTGCTTTGGCAGTCCGAATCAAACTCATTTAAGACCATGTTTGACTTGTGTGGAAATTGGACAGGACCTGGATGACAGCATGTCGGCGGCTGCGGAGGCGGTGTTGTCGTACAAAGTAACCAGCAATCAGAGTCTTTACGAGTGAGGCTGAGACTCCCAAGGACGACTGCAGTGCACTTTCAGACTTCCGAGTGTTTACGCCAGTGTACCATGTCCAACTGACAGGCTACTTGTATTGACTCGCTTGTTTCCAGGAAGAGAAGCTGCTCGGGAAGGCGTTGCGGACTGTTTACATCACAGGGCTGGCAGAGTCGCAGCAGGAAACTGAGATACTTCAACAGCAAGGAACACTTCAACTGAAGTGGCGTAAAGATCATAAAGCAAATAGATGATCCAAGGAAGACAAATGTTAAGCTATGCAATATGTGGCTGTGGCCCCAAACCAGACTACCCGAGTTGACCACCGAAAATAAACAGAATGGACTACTAGACATGGTCAACCTTCCAGGGATTAGGGGTCCGGGTTTTGATCCACAGCCATGTATGAAGCACGGCATGCATTGATTTTTAATAACTATATTATAAGGGAATCGTTCAAGGCGTTTGATTTCTCGGGACGACTTGAAGGAGGCATTGCGGCCGATTGCAGAGGTGGGCTTAACTGAAAGACTTGAGTGACAGACAGAACAACAGAAAGCAATACATTGGATCTCATTTTGCAGTTTCTTGTGTCCCCAATCCAGCATGCATGCAACATGAAACATTTTTAACGGGGTTGCCACGGACAAGTTGCAGTCACTGCAGGTGGACGGGGCGAGAGTAGGTGCTCAAGATGCGCCAGATGCAAAGGAGAATCTGCAGTAGATTGAAGAAAACTGCTATGCATTCGTTCTTGTGTTTTGGACTTGCATTGAATGTCTTGGCACAAGGTTGGTGCGCTTTGCCACAACTGAGCAAGCCAAGAAAGCCTTGGCTGTGCTGCAGCGCAGAGTCCATGCCTTACTGTGGGTTTGCACAGATGTGCCTTCCCTTAACTACAGCCAAGGAGCTGTGCGTCAGACATGCCGTGCTTGCTGGCCAGATGGCTCCATCAGATCACTTGTCTGAAGAGGCAATGCGGGTAGTCACAAACAAAATGTAGAAAAAATGTAATGTTCTCGTCAAACACTGCTGCATGCTGTCCTGTATGTGAGGCCTTGGCTTTGGCTGGGGGACGGCCTGTAGAGACAGACAGGCTGACTACTATATTATGAACAAAGTGCCATTCACGGTGGCGTGGGGCGCGCAAGTGTCTTCTACATCGCTCATGTATTGTCCTTGCAAATCAATGCAATGCTGCAATATAATGGGTTTATATATATATATGTGTGTTTGTACATGCTTATTTACATGAATAATACACAAATCGGAGAAGCTACCAGGACTGAGACCATGAAAGCTCTGCAGTCAACGCAAGTTGTCGATTCCCAAGCATTGACATGTCGACTCCGTGAGACAGAGAGAACAGCTTTGATGTTCAAAGGCCCAGTGCTCACAGTCGAACAAGGCTGGGATGCTTCCTGCGGTGCTCCTCTTCATGGCCAAGTGTTTCCTCCAGTTAGTCCTGGTTTTAAGACAATCAAGATCACAAACAAATCAGCAAGAGGGTTTATGCGACGTCCGGCGATGTCCCCTTCGGCCACACTTGAAGGTCATCCGAGCATTATTTAATGCAACACTACCCAAACATGCATTTGTCTATATTGTTTGGTTATTAGACATCTATATACTTGGACCAACAGAATCTACTTCACATTGATGAAACATTATAGACGTGACCGCCAGATAGTCGTCGAGGCCCACAGTCTTGACCACAGGCTATCACCATGTCAAGATTGATCAAGGTGTAAATCGCCTTGACATTATTGATCATTAAGGGTTGCAAGTGTGCAACCATTGGCATGGTTGGTCGCCTAGATAGAACAGACACCTGCCCCAGACAAAACAAGGTTTACGCTGCAGAGCGGACGCAAAAGATAATAGTGCAAAAAAGAGGGGAAAGAAGGGGAAGCTTCTAAACGCGCCCGGAAGACAAGGCGAGACAAGAATTCAACGACTGGCAAAGTTATTGGTTGATTTATGTAATCACGGCATGACCCTGACATGTTGAGGTCTATGTTTCTGTGGGGATGATATGCAGTATTGAGGCCCCCCCTGGCAGGCACATGACAGAAAACACACAATTCTTTGGTGGTCAGTGTTGCAGAGAAACTATATAGTTGGGGAAATACCAGTCTGTGTCGGAAAACAAATTGCAAGTCGTGCAAACAGCCCCTTCTCCCATACCAAAACCGTGGTGAAAGTTTCTTTCAGCTCAGCAGAATGCACCTGGTTTGAAGCCTTTGCCAATCAGTTTAGCTCAAATAAACATAGACGATAAACATACCAATGCAAGACATTCAAACAACTATATAATTTGTACCTGTTACATCATTATTGGATTATCATCTTTAGTGACGACCATATTCTATATCTAGAACGTTGGAGAAACACCAGCATGTGATATTATTTCCAACAAACAGGTCTCACACGCACATATATGTATATATATATATCACGTCATGTCATATACCAAGAGCAGCGCACTTACATACTTGCCAGCAAGAATACAAAGCACTGATATTTGCTTCGAAGAGATTTGACACTTGGAAGCTCCTGCGCTGCCTCGCTGATTTCGGGTGAGGAAGGCTTCGCCAAACCTTAGAAAAGCCGGCCCTGTTTGCGGACGCGGCTCCTGTTTTTAGGAGTTTGCAGGCCATCACATCCTCAAAAACAAAAACCCTTACCCTTGCGAGCTGGGCGCCTTCTTAAAGCCGTGCAACGTTCCCGATGCGCGCGCGCGTGTGGGAGCAGCTCGATGGAGCAGGACTCAAGAAACGCTGCAGACTCGGCTTGACAAGTGCGAGTGTGGGTTCTCGAATGTCGATGTTCTATTTGATTCTAGATCCTCAACTTGCTGTTCTTGACTCTCGTTTCGATTCATCGGCTATTGTTCATCGATTGTCGACTCGTTACTGTATGTTCGATGTTGCGCTTCTGGATGAACCGGCAGCGTGTTTTCAAGAAGCTTGACCAAGAACGCAAACACGGTAGAACGACGAGTTTCGCTTTTTGAGCTTGCTAACTAGCAGGCTCCTTACAAGATTCAAGAACGGAGAGGGATGAAAAAGGACTGCTTCGGGAACCCTTACCGATTAAAGTGATTAAAGGTATTTTTGAAATAGTCCTGCAATCCCTTTCCTGAGGAGATTCAAGAACGTTCCCCGATCTCGGTTTGAGAGGTCCAAAAGACCTTTTTGCAAAGCTCCCGCGCCCTGTTTTCACAGACACCTAGTCAAACTACTACTGCCTGCGCCCTTGCCGAAAGCAGCCAGTGATGCTGACATCTAAGCTATGCACAGTGAAAGAAAACAATATTCCTGGCCAAAGCAGCCAGAGGGTGCATTGCTTCATTGAAGCTTCTGGCCGAAGCAGCCAGGAAGCTTAAGTCGTCTTAAGTCATTGGTTGTTGGTGGCGCCTGGCAAATGGCAAAGTGTGTTCCAAGGATGTTGATGAACTATTGATGATGTCCAGTGGGCGCGCCAATTTGTTTACGCTTGGAGCAAAATGGACCGAAACCATAAAGTATCGCTTTAAGAGATCAAAATATCCTTGACCTTTCGACGAGATTGGCAATTGAGGTAAACGAGAAGGGGTTACGACAGACTAGCAAGGTACATGTAAAAAGCTTTTAGGATATGCTTCCTGGAGCCAACTTGACATCCCAACATAAGAGTGGCAGCCAGTACATAATTAGCAACAAGACCACAAGTGTAAGGAGCGAGAATCACATTGCAAAACACACTGCTTATTTCAGCAACGCAGGGCACCAGCCTCCCTCCCCAAAACAAAAATACCCAAGAGCAAATGTAAGAAGCAAAGCCGCCCCCGTCGTAGTGAGGCAAAAAGTGTTCAATGAGTTTCCATACAGCGTGGCAAAGACGGGCGCGAAAAGACCAATCTATGTATGCAATCCAACGTCGAAGCAATTGACCAAACCTGAACAGAAAAAAAGCGTTGAGGGGAGTGAGTTGTGTCGAGGCCAAACGTGACGCCAACAATCTCGCGCGAGAAACAGGCCTTTCTGCGCAAACGGGCGGGCGTGCGCTTGGCCCACCTTTGAAACATGCTCCAGGTTTTGAGTATAGGGCAATGCTTAGACGTATGTCGACACCCAAAATGAGATACTCCAGCTGACGCGCGCCCGTTGCGCACTTATTGTCTCACCCGTAAGCAAACGACCGCAAAGACCACCTCATGGAATCTTCCAATATGCGATGGCTTCCGCGCTTCCGGTAAAACAGAAGGGGGGTTGCGGGCATTTAGTGAGGGATATAGTGGGGCTTTGGCGACTGGCCTACAGGTTCAGAGCGACGCGGCGGACTAAGTTTTATTTCATTTTATTTCAGTTACTCATGGACTCATGAACGCAACAAGCAGCGGGAGCAATGGGTTCAAGTGATGGGTTTGCACTTGCTTTTTATGTGTCCCAGTTCCACGGCAAGCATACCGTTAGTTGCGGTCACGTTGCTTCTGTCCGGCGCCCAGTTGTGGCATAGTAAAGCCTGGGTGTAGAATGCGTGGTCCTAAGGATTCAAATCAGCTCAGCTTGAATGTTGGCGAAGAAGTGGTTGTGCAGCAGGCCACCCTCTTTGCGCCGCGCAGTGTATATATACCGTATACGTACCCACAGCGCGCTGTTAACAAATACTTTGAAATTGCCAGGTTTGCAAGATGGTCTATCACATCCACCAAAATCCTTGGTTTGGAATTGTGGCGGTTGGGCATGAGCGATTTTTCCATGGTTCCCAAGGCTGCGGCCACTGGGGCTTCTTATTTAGGCTGACCCCACTGCGATCTAGTGCTTGCTGTTGAGGTCCGGCAGTGCCCGGCCCACTGCGATCTGGCGCTTGCTGTTGGGGTCCGGCAGTGCCCACTGCGATCTGGCGCTTGCAGAACCACTCGATCACAAAAAGCATGGTCCTACCTCTCGCGTACACACTTTGGAAAATTTTAGGTCACTTCTAGGGGCTTCACGGTCTTCTGCTAGCTCATTAGCTCACGGTCAATTGCTACTATCACGGCCATTTACCGTTTTCACGGCCAGTTGCCGCTTTCACGGTGACTCGCTGTTTGCGCGGCCTGCCCGAGCAGATTACTGGGCTCATGCACTGCGACTGTTTGGGCCTGGCGGCTTTGCAGCTTTATTACACATTGAACAGGGCTGGGAAGCAGCCTGGCGCCGCCATCAAGGTGGCAGGCTCTCCATTGACTCTCCATCACTGAGACGCGGGCGCTCAGCCACACATGAAACGCCATGCAGCGGCAGAGAATACCGTGTTGGCTTGGGGCAGTTATTGGTGATAGGAAGCAAGAGCTACAGTTGCCTAAGAGGGCCCTTTGTGGCAAATGTTTTCTACAGGCAGTGCCCTACTAAAACTTTCCACAAGAGTAAGAGTGTCCGACAACAGTGCCCCGTAAGAGTGTCCTACAAGAGTGTCCCACAAACATGTTTCACAAGAGTGCCCTACAAACGTGTTCCACAAGAGCATCCTTGAAGAGTCATGCACAAGAGTGTGAAGCAAAAAAATAGCAAAACGTGTGACACCAAGTGTCACCCCAGAATGTCCGTCTTTGAAGAGTGTCAAGCAAGAGTGTCAAAGAACGTTTGGCCCTGTGTGTTGGCGTGCAAGTGTGCATTGGTGTTCGTGGTTTCTATCAGGTTTTAAACCACTTGAAGATGTGGGATTAGACATTAAGCTGCCACAAAGCCACCCAGATTGACCTTCGCGAGTGGACAAGTTTGATCTTGCTGAGGCGTGACAAAGTAAAAGAATGCAAAAGACAGAGTTCTGAATTGGAGGGCCAGAAGACGGACGTGATCATGTGAAGGTGTGTTTGCACATGAGGAGTCCAGGAGAGTTTGAATATGTTGGAATAGTAACGAAAGTTTTATTATGAGGAGAAACTTGGAACAAGAAAAGAACGTCCGAAGTGTTATATAGTAATATGATCCGACTGATCTCAAAATAGCACTCCTTGGCTTGTTTGTGAGAGACTTACATTGCAGTGTACTCAAGTTTGTATTTTGATGTGCACTTACGCATGAATAGTTGTCGCGTGTGTTCATCCCTTCAAATCTTTCGTGATGGCTAACAAGTTTCAAAAATCTCGTTGGCCTTTCGCAAAGATACTCGTACCGCTGTAGTCATGTTAGAACAGAATGTGTCTATTGCTCTTCGTGTTCAGTTCAGGCTCAGCATGTATATCGAAGGCACGACGCATCACCAAGTTTATATAGGTGTCAGAACCTGGTGGTGGCTCATGGACATTTTTGCATGTCTCTAGCGTGCCACAGTGTTTAATGATTGGGAAATTTCCAGATCCAAGTCAGCATGTAAACCTGCAATGCTGGAACTTCGTGGCACCAGGTTGCGGCTCATGGTTGGGCGTTTGGGCAATTGCTGTCAGAGAGACGGCAAGGCTGGTTCCCAACGCAAGAAACCCAGCTAATATTGATGAAGTCCAAGCCAATCACATTAATATTAGTGTACATTAATAGAGTCACTAGTCACTAGAGCCAGTTTTGAGACTGCCGCGAATCATTTGAGGCATTGCCTCATGGCGCAACATCAACATGCGCCTCCAGAGCAATCACCTCCACCAAGTGCGCCGCCTTCTAGCTCTGTGAAGGCCCCGCAGGATAACTGTCGCCAAACAAAACTCAAACAAGTTGTTACTAGTAGCGATGGCCTCCAACCTAGTAGCTTCTTGTTACTAGTAGCGATGGCCTCCAACCTCCTTTGGTAGACTTCAAAGTCGGAATACAATGCAGCATGCCTTGTGCAGCTGACAACATTTGCGGCACTGACAGCACTGACACCTGTCGGTCGTGCGGGAACAGGTTATATAGATTTTTTGATGTTTTCGCGCTTTGCAGGTGGAAAGAGATTATGCAGCATCAGATTCTGCTCAGCTGTCGGTGAAGGAGGGAGAGCTGGTCTACGTCAAGCAGAAGGATCCGTCCGCTCCGCAGTGGATGGGATGTTCTAAGGTGCACAGGCATACCTTAGGCAGAATGATTTACTGGTGTTGAGTTCTGACTTGCCATCCGTTTTGTGTTTGCGCTCTCACTTTGTGGGTGCAGGTCTGGCTGGACCTGGGTGGCCAGGGTCAATCCGCAAGTCATTGGCCAGAGAGAGGGCTGGGTTTGGACACTCAGATGAATGCTGTCCAGACTTTTCAGACTCTGATGAGTTCTGTACTGACCAAAACAAATGATGCCACAAATGTCATGAATCATGGCCTAAAGTGGTTTGTCCTCACAGCGTGCATGCCGCATGAGGTGCCAGACTGGCTCCTCCAGAAGGCTCCACAGTGTTTGTTTGGTTTACAGATTGTGTCATCAAGAAGTGCCCTTTTGCCAGGACCAATGCTCTTAACAGGCAAGGACTCGGACCTGCTGGTGACGGTGACCCCCCTCTCCGCCTTGATTCTTCGAACCGTAGGGAGTTGTGTCGCACAGAGTCGTTGGTGCCCTCTATATACCTGTCGCAAACGCTGACAAGCCTGTCGAATGGTGCTTCTTTATTTGTGCATGGCATACACTATCATTCCATGTAGTATCTCAGATTATCTAAGTATCTCGGAAGATCCCGAAAGCACATTTAAGGCTGGATGCCGGCTGCTTGCCAGACCACGGCCATTATATAGTCAAGAATATTCAACCACAATAGTCACCCGTGGCACTCTGACATCAACCGCCCTGCCTTCAAAACCTGTTCAGCGCTCCAGCACCATGTCCCCCATATAATAACACATTTTTGGCAGTGACAGGCGCCAATTGAGAACTTGCTATTTGAAGCCAATTGTGGATTTGAGCCTGTTTGAGATGGCATGCTGGATTTCAAGGTGCGTTTCTTGGTTCAATTGTGTTCGTTCTCCGCCACTGCTCAATACAAAGGAACAACTTGCTGAACAGAGTTCTGAGAAACTAGCCTTTGCATGCATTTGCCAAGGCATGCCAAGACTGTATAGACTCTACTGTATATGGACACAAAATGCAAAAAAGTAAAGCATTTGTTCTGGGGGTTTGCAGTCGACTGCAATGCAAATTTCTGGAGCTTCAGGCTCAGGTTCTTGAGTCTAAGGAAAGAAAGAAATGGAGTGTTTTTCCAGAGGCTAAGACCTACTAAGACTGTTGAGCTGGTGGTTCTGCTAAATTCTATCTCAATTTACAACCATGGCGTGACGTTGGCCTTTAGCCAAGAATTAGTCCACGCAGTACGTACATGTCCTCAAGCCATTTGTAGAAGCGGATATTTGCTCAGCATTCTCCGGTGCTGCCTCAGGCTGGCAAGCTGACAGATCAGCTCGGCCATGCACCAAAAAGTTTTGAGCTGAAATTCTGGGAAGCCTTTTGCATGGGTCAACAGAACACTACTGGAGAACATTCGGAACACAGTTGACTTGACGGTGCAATTGCAAAACTCAAGATCAGCTTTTGCGGCTTGCCGTGTCATGCACACGGCATTCCATGACCTTCGCATCATATGATAGAAAGTTGCATTGAAGACCGATTGTTTTCCAACGTTTTTCAAACATGCCGGTTTCCAAGACTTGGAGGTTGACTTCGCCAATCTGCATGACTCAAACTTGGTTCAGGATTCAAACTCTCCTTCGCAAAGGTAGCCAGAAAGCTCGCCATGGCAGATCCAGGTATGGCCCGGGTCACCGGCCTCAATAAGGCGACGGCTTTTGTTCCTCACTTAGCCATGTTTGTGGTTTGTTCCAACAGTGTCGGCTCAACAGTCAGTGCTGTTTGTGCATGTGCAGTACAAGCTCGTATTCCTCGGAGAGCAAGCCGTGGGAAAGACGTCAGTAAGCCACTCAGAGAGCTCGGGCTACTCAAGTGTCAGGAGCTGTGTCCACAACAGCGTTTGGTTTGCTTTCAGCCATGGTTCACAACAAATTATTTGTGCAAAGTATTGTGAAGTGAGATTCATGCAAATGTTACAATTGGTCGACGCAGATATGCAACATGTGGGTAGATGTTCGTCAGTACCATACTCCTTGGTCCACATTCCACCCAATCCCCAAGTTTGAAAGGGGCAGCTCAGGTTATCACTCGGTTTATGTACGACACCTTTGACAACAACTACCAGGTGTGGAAAGAATCAAGTGTTCTTTCATCTGACAATCTCAAATTCATGGCTGTGAACTGGTGCTTGCCAAAAGGCGACCATCGGTATTGATTTCTTGAGCAAAACTATGTATTTGGAGGACGGCCATGGTCGAGACAAAAACCATGTGCAGGATTGGTGTTTCTCCTGAATCAAAGTACGCTGGAGCCTGCTGGAGCCTTGTCATAAGACTTGTAGTTATATAAATCCTAAATGTATGGAATCTATTATGGTGTTGTTCCTGGATGTGTATTTGACTTTAATCATGGGCATTGAAAAACGTTTTCCTGTGCGTGTGGCTCTTTTACAGCGGAAGGCATTGTGACTTTTCCACCTTGACCATTTTGACAGCCACCCGAGTCAGTCGTTTGGCAACACCTCAGCCCTTGATGGTGTACGCAACAAAGCAACCAGAGCAAAAAGCAATATCTAGCAGCTAGCAGCTAGCAACAAACACAGCCTTCCACCGCCTGAATCTCAATACCCGAAAAGCTTGCGCAATACCAGAGCTCAACTATGTTCGTCTCTGAGATGAGAGGGATAAGATAGCTGAAGGGCCCGCAGAGCAAGGGTACGGCTGGAAGGGTGGGGCATGGTATTTATCATTCAGCAAGGATCACCTCACCTCAGCAGCAGAGCCTGCCAGTCATCAACGTTAAGCACCTAGCGCTTCACTGGTGGTGAAAGGATACCACTTCACTCGCAGAGAAGATAATCACGCGCGAAAAACGAGAGTGACACACTATGATGAAAAAGCCTCCCAATCAGCATGTCCCACCCATACCAAGCACTGACAATCAAAGTCATCAAGACTTGTGTGACATGGTGTGGGTCTAGATCAAGTTAAACCAGTCGCACGGTGATGAGGTCATCCCTGGCCACCTTTCAAAAAGCATTTGGGGAAGGAATCATGGGTTGCCAAAATCCGGAAGAGGCATCGCCAGTAGACCCTGCAGAGTTCGGCCAGTTCAACGATCATTTGATCATTTAGATCAACCCAGACTTCAAAGAGGGCGACATAACAATGATGGTAAATCCCAGTGTGGCCAACCAGTCCTGGAGGGGCCTGACTAGGTTGCAGAAACTTAAGAGTCAACCAATACCCCAAATCAGAAACTCCAATGGAAAAAAGTTGCAACAGCAGACGCTGAGCCGAATCTTGCCCCGAAACAATTCCGGCCTGTGAAGGACAGAACGGTGAGGCTTCAACTTTGGGACACTGCAGGGCAGGCCTGAAACGTGTTGGGAAGACTGCGAATAAGACTTGCTCATGAATCAAGCATCAGCTAGACGTGACTTCTTTTCTTTTTGGTGTGTTGTCTTTTTGGTGTGTGTGTGTGTGTGTTGGTTGGTTTCCTTCTTTCTGGGCGTTTGAGGAGCGCTTTCGCAGCCTTATCCCAAGCTACATTCGGGATTCCTCCGGAGCAATTGTGGCACGGTGCTCAGGGACAGACCTACAGAGTCTTTGCGCAGGCGAGACATCATGTCACTATGTTTGCATTCAGGCGCTACTAGGAGCTAGGTATACTGGTTTTGCGAACAGGCAAACTGTGGGCTGATGATTGATGCTGCTTTGCTTTTGGTGAAGCAATGTGGTGGCATGCAAAAATGTGGGAATAGACAAGAAATTGGAACACGTTGATTTCATTGTTGGAATTAAACTGCAGGAAGACGTGCAGAAGAGAACAGTTGCAATACCCGTCCGGCAATCCATACTAAATTTAAAATCGGGTAGCTCAGCCACACTATATATTGCAAAGGTGTTTTTTTTGTAAATCACGTACGTCCAGGACTGCATAACAAGAAAAACATACAGTATCATGAATTCCCCCCCAAAAAAACCTTGGTCCAGAATTTCAGAAAAGTGTGTTAAATCATGATATGACTGACTTAAAAGACCACATGGTAGGTCAGACACAGGATTCTATACAGTAAATGGCTGGTTTTTTTTCCACTTGGAGGTCCTTGAGGGTCAAGGTAGGATTGTATTAATTATGTTCCATACCCCCAACTTCTAAAGGTCTAGGATGGGTGGGCCTGCAGGGCCGCCAGACATAGGGTCTAGCATTGTGCCTTCCAGCAGTGTATACCCGAAACCGTTGAGGATTTCAAATGCTGGAAATGCGAACCACAAAGCAGGCATAGTTAGTGCAACTGTAGTGAAAAATAAGTGGTACGAAAGGTGCTCCTGAAAGGGTTCTTTTCGTACACTTATTGAAGGCCGGCACTTTCAGCATAATTGTGATTTGTGGTCGATTAGAGTCAGAGTGAGAGAGATTCTTCCAGTGCAGACGGTTCATTCTCACCAGATGATCGGAAGATGCTGCGAAGAAAAAACAGCTTTCTTCGCATCAAAAAAGATTAGTTAGGGTCAATGACAGGGTTCATTATGAATCATAATGGTGTCTTATAAACATGTCACATGTCCCAACCTCAGTCCCAGGAAACGCCTCAGTCCAGAATTAATAAAGCAAAAACACCTCATGTTTTTGCATCGTACCTTGCACTAAAAAATAAGGAAATGCCCTCAGTCCCGAAGGACTTTATAAAGTAAAATTCTGAGTTCGACCTTTCGGCATTATTCAACGGGTACCTTGCAGAACATTCTTACTGTATGCTCTATGCTTGCACCGTCACACACTTCCCGATCACATGCCAGGATCGGCGCCTGACCCCAGGTGACCACTACGTAACCGCCAAACAACAAACGAAAATGGCGGCCTGGAGCGCCAGCTGGCGTCACAACTTGTATAATTCGGGAAGCAGCCTTTTCGAGGGTTGGACTTGGAGCAGGACGCCCCCGAGAAAGTAGTAGTAGTCGTGGCCCCCGGCTCGAACTGGAAAAAGTAGTAGTAGTCGTAGTCGTAGTCGTAGTAGTAGTAGTAGTAGTAGTGGTAGTGGTAGTGGTAGTGGTAGTGGTAGTGGTAGTGGTAGTAGTAGTAGCAGTAGTAGTAGTAGTCGTAGTGGTGGTGGTAGTGGTAGTGGTAGTGGTAGTAGTCGTCGTCGTAGTAGTGGTAGTGGTAGGCGTAGTAGTGGTGGTGGTAGTAGTAGTAGTAGTAGTAGTCGTCGTCGTCGTGGCCCCCCTCGAACTGGGAAAAGTAGCAGAAGTAGTCGCGGCCACCCCCCATTCTGCTACATACCGAGCTTGTCGGACGTCGGCTTGTGTGGCGGTCATGTACGCAGTGTAGATTTCAAGTGCAAAGCAAATGAGTGGCATGCGCAGGGAATGAGATGAGGTGCAGATTTCGTGGTGCGGGAGGGTTGGGCGCTTTAATTGTTTTAGTGTTCAGACACTAACCGCTACGGCTCTTGCTTCACGAGGCATTTGAGAAGGATTCCGTGCTACGAGGGGTTGTAAGAAGGGTTCTGTGCTACGAGGAAGTAGTAGTAGCCGGGCACCCCGGCCGGGGTAGAGGTGTGGGCGCTCCCCCTGCCACACAAAAATTAGGACACCCTTCGGGGGCGGCCTTACTTGGAGAGCTGCAACAACAACCAACAACAACAACAAGTGAAAGTGGACGCGTCTACCGGATAACAAGCCATTGAATGAGAGCCACAAACGCTGGACAATCACAGTGAATTAGAGAGTTAGGACACAGCGCAACTGCCATAAGGCCAGCGTAAATCTCAATCGACTGACAAAGGCGATTGGGGTCACCGGAAGCCGTGACAGCTGCAACTGCAAATGCAGCGAGTCGAAGCTTCCTCAACTCAGGACGGGCACAAGACCCGTCAACGAAAAAGTTCTTTACACTCTTCACAATCAATGGCATTCCCAAACGCTGGGGAGCAATGACAAACCTTCAATATCTTGGAACAAACACGCGCGAACCAAAATACCTTGCGTGTGCGCAAATTTACGAAAGGAGGTAAGTTGATTCTTGGAATTGTTTCTGCTCATCAGTGGTACCTGAACACATCAGCGGTACAACAAAGAACTGTGGAAACATAAGCTGGATATATTTACACACACACATATATATATAAGCAACCATATAGCATTGCGCCTCGCATACCCAAAGCCATCGTAGCAGACACCTTAGAAACCAAAAGCAGACGCTGTGAGTGAAAAGGGCGCAAAGGAGTGCACTGCATTAGTGTGAGTTGGCTAGATTGAAGAGTTTCAAGAGTGGGAGAGTAAGTTTGGAGAGTACCGGACTCATCTTGGGAGCCTGCTGTGGTTTTGGATGGGTCTTGCCTCGAG